AAAGCAACCTTACAGAAGTGGTGTTTAGATGAGCTGGTTTGATGCGACTGATTGTGAGACAGTTCAAAAGCAGTGTTGTCGGACAATTTTGCAGGGAACTCCTCAGCTGTAGATGAGCATCGTTTGCGGTTTCATGGCCACGTACTGAGAGAGCCACAGAATCGGTCGATAAGCGGAGCAAGAGTTTAAAGCTAAAAGGGAGGGACCATGGGGAGTCCAAAGGACCGACACTAAGGTGACGGGGGAGCATGCTGCAGGCAAGAAGTGATGGGAACGTCTCAGATCATCGAATATTCCGATCTTGTCACAGAGAGGAGGAAAGCTAAACTAAGCGGGGCAACCGGTGCACACAGCATAATATTTGGCGCATTCTCATTTGGTTCCTGTTGTTCTTCGATCTTCAGTTGTTTTAAACATATTCAACATAATTTTCACACACACAGTTACCACAAAAGTAATGTTTCAGTTCCATTTGGAATCGGCTGGGAATGTGATATTTTGCAAAGAAAATGATTCTCTTCACATGAGGGGAATGGTATCGAAAGTGGCGAAGGCTATGAAGCACAATGGAGCTCTGGCTATCGCCCAGTTATCTCATGTAAGCATTCCATTCTTATTAAAAACGAGTAGAGAGATTATCTCGTTGTTGGAAATACACGATCTGATATGTTCCATATTTGGTTCTGCCTAAATCTCGGCCTAATTCTAGTTTGCTTTCGGTGTTTTCACTTCAACGGCTGACATTACTGCTGCGGAATGGGCCTTTGGTGCTTCCAAAGTCTAAAACCATTGGACGATCATTAATTCGTCTGCCTTTTTAATCACAGAGAGCAACTTCTAGGGATCACAGTCAGAAGCAAAACTGAAAGATTAAGATAAGAACTGGAAAATTGCAAGGAGTAAAAATAGTAATGTGTGAATGCACAGCAGTAAGAATTGAAAGGTCCAGGGAACCTGAACATCTGCATCACCGTTGAGCTCATCCTTTATTCATCGCTAAGGCAAGGATAGTCGATAGTCATCGCAGTAGCAGAGTTCCTCAAAGGCTCTGTCTTCGATGTGTCGGCAGGGTTAACGATCGAATCATGGCCATGCGGATGTACACGAAAGGCATCGCAAGCCAAATGCCCCGATCCAGCCACGAAGAGGATGATTTCTGTCTAAGCCTTGACGAGGCCATTTGATCAGTTCCGAAAAGTGTCTATTGCACAATAGCGAGTGATCTTGGTGACCACATTGTGAATGAAGGAGCTTCGAAAAGATCCTAGTGAGAAGGGAATTGGAGTCAGGAACGAAGGAGAAGAGGGCGCCCTTGTCCTGGCCGTAATCCACGACTTGGCAGTCTGATAAGGACATCGAGGTACTGCCTTGTGAAGAATTGGCTCCCCAGTACAGGCTTCTTCTAGCAGACATAGCCATGGAGCTTTCCAAGGATTCAAGGGCAGGAGCGGAACGGAGGATATAGTGGTGAAAGCTGCACTGTACTGGAAGCCGGGCTTCAATTCCCGAGTTGCCCATCTAGCACACCTGGAGCAACGCCGGCAAAGTCATCCTGCGAGGTGTAAGGAAAACGCGGGGGGATTTGAGGTGGATTCCAAAGAGACAAGGAAGCGTGGTTCTAAACGATAAAGTCTAGCAAGTAGTGAGGCAGAAGAAAGTGGCCTCAGGCGCTGACAGAAGACGTGAGCTCAAGAAAACTAGCTGATTGCAGGATTTTCGAGAGGCTCGTCAGGGCTACTGTATCGAAAGCAGCGAGTACGAAAATGGAGGTCTCGTACGATAAAGTCGATGGTCGTGGAAGCGCGGCATCGGGCTACCCAGGGCATAGGAGTAGTAAAGTACATTAAGAATAGCGAGGGAGCAATCTGAGGACGCCTGGTGAGGGTAAGCGTGGCTTGAAAAGGATACTCCGACCGGCTTGTATATTGGAACAAGCTTATATATGAAGCTCATGGAGAGTTCAAGAAAACATTGGGCAATTTCTACATATATTTTCTTCTTTGTCACTTTATTTTGTCTGGAGGGATGTGGCACAATATTCCGTCCACTGAATGGGAACCTACCCTTTCTTGATGGAATTCACTTCGCTTTCGTTCATTTCCGATTGTATTGATTCGTTCATTGAGTTGGCTAGTTGTATGATGTTGCTCAGCACCCGGATATACATTTGAATAATTAAATAAAGTTTCGTAAAAGTGTCATGAATGAGCAGTAAGTCATACACGAACGTCCCACCCGTTTTTCAGGCTGGACGACAAACGCCAAGACTGGTGAACCCACATCCGTCCTCATGCTCTGATGTACAACTGAAAGTGCCTCAACATATAGTGGGCTTCGGGCGTCCCATTCCTCTGACTGAGCAGCAAGTGAAGACAGAAGTGGTGGATCGATTCGTGTTTGCTGCGAAATTAGCTCGAGACTGTGGTTGGTTGATATTTATGCAAATTTCATTGAAGATTGCAGCGCACAAAATTGCGTTTTCATTCTGACTAGCAAACATGTGCAAATAAATTTCTGTATTTTCTGATAACTTAATAAGCTAAAGCGCCTTTTCAATTTTATTCCTCTCACCGAAAGTTCGCATTCTGAAGCTTTGGAGAATAGTCTATAGCCTTTGTCACTACTGTCTTTGAGAGCGGGCCCGTAGGTAAAGGTGTCTCCCTGAATCGAAATGGAATTTCAGGATTTGATGGTGTCCAACTCCACGGAGCGCATGGCTACCTTCTGTCATCCTTCATGTCTCCAGCCACGAATAATCGGACTGATAAATATGGTGGATCAGCTCAGAACAGAATGAGGGTGATTCGTGAAATTTTCGAGGAGATAAGGTATGTGGATATTCATATTTGAGTGTATACCTGGAGCAACGAAAGAACTTTTGAGGAAGGAAATTTCTGCGGTTACCGGTTTTCTGGTCGGAATTAAGATGAATACAATTGAATTGAACGAGAAGGGTCTCAATGTAGAAGAAGCGAAGGTACTATGTGGAATAATTGAGGTAGGATTCATTGGTATTGACAAAAGGAACGCAGCATGTTTGGGCCTCGTACTCCTATCATGAAGTAAAGGGAATAGTGGGAATAGCTCTTGGCTGGTGTAAAAGTCGTGGTGAATGTTTTAGAGTATCGGCTTCGATTTTGTGGAGTTGTCGGGAGGAACACTGGAAAGGAATGCGTTCATACATAAAACCGATTTGGACCAAAAACGGGAGGCCTTTTTCATCAGTTTCGCTGAAAAGGTTTGTTTGTTAACTTAATTTCACTGCGATGATCGGTGCGTTGCAGTGGACAACAATCTTGTGAATTTGGTGTAAAAGTTGTAGGTAGTAGACTGTAACAAGTGATTCCTTGGATCGCTTTGAACATTGTTGTTATGATTGGGTTCCTTCATCAGGCAGTCAGTCAACCTGGTTCTGACCGTGGCAAGGGCAGTTTTTGCAGTTTTACAGAGCATGATTTTTGCCTTAGTAGGGGTCACCTCCCGGTCTTTCTGATGTAGGCATGTATCTACTTTCTCATCTTCTATCCAGTTAAAGATCGTTCCGTTTAGATTCGTCCAGTTTTCAAGAAGACGGTAGTGTACCTGACAGGTGGCTTCAAAACTGTACAGGGTATGGTCAACGCGATTCAAGAAGGGGCAACTGATGGCATAGGATTGGGAAGACCAATAACCGCGGAACCAGGTGAATTGTTACCTATTCTTATGAAGATGGCCACTTCTACCATGTTTTTGAACCAGCAACTTTTTTAAAGACTAGAATACCGAGCAATCTGTCCAGCGTAAAAAGGTTAAATTCAATAGGACTAATCGTGTGTGTGATTGAGCTCCTCAGCCTAATTGGGCGATTCTTCTCAAGTCTTTTTGCAGTATATACCTTCGAACAAGATAATCGGAATAGCTTCGATCAGAAGGATTTTGAAAACAGTTGTGTTAAGGAACATTCTAGTGGGTGAAAGAGAAGGGATTTTGGTGTCGTCTACTGGATTTCTGCTGATGCTATTTTTCCGCTCTCATCGGTTTTGCAAGTTCGTACAAAGTCTACCACAAATCCTCATTGCATGTGGGCGTTGTTTGGGAGCTAATACTGAACTAGTTCAATATTTAACCCACAATCGAGATATCCATTCTTCCGTTTCTCTTGATTGATGTGGGTATTTTGAAAGCAGTAGCGGTCGAAGCGATTTTTCTATCTCCATCTTTGATCCTTTCTCTATCTGCAGAACTTATCGTTTTTCTACTTTTCAGCACAACTTTGAGGACTTATAGTAAGCAAATTGGGAAACTTTGAGTGAAAAAAGGAACATATCTTCGAATAAAAATTCAAAATATCCGAGTGAGATTAAAATTTCAAGTATTATAAATCAGGGACATATTGGACAATGACGGTTGACAAAAAGCTAAATGAAAAACAGTTTCCTCAGCAGAGCCGGATCATTACAGAAGGCCATTCGAAATCGATGCTAACATTTTGGTTAGCTTTCAGATTTACCAGCTAAATTCTTCCGCAAAGAATGTTTTTCTACTGCTGATTCGAAACTGAACCAGAACGACTTCTTCATGACACTTCTGGCCAGCCAAGCTCAGATGGGACAGATGGGTAAAAAGCCATTCGCTGAACAGAATAGGTTCGTTTTTTTGTGATTTTTTTTCACAAAATTACATATAGTATTCTCATTCTACAGTAAAGTAAACGCAGAGTACGGTCAACTTTGATGGCTACGGTTTTGTTGACTCTATAGGTGGAAACTATAACTGTAATCGGGGTCTAAGCATTAGCCTAGAAGTTCTTCTCATCGTAGAGGTCTGCTAAGATTACTGGCATCATTGTGTGAACGATGTTCTCAAGTAGGAGATTGAAAAAATCGACTCTGGAGATGTTCTCAATGAGAAAATGGGAAAAAGTGAAGTAGTTTTCAAAATAATTGTCTAATATTATTTTTGTCATGTTCATTGTGTCTTTGTACAAGCGCTTATTTTACTTTTTATTGAACATTTCGGGTGGGATGAAGTGGTGGCAGGTGGGGCACACGATCACGCGTATGGTCCGGGGTTTGAATCCCGTATCGTATTGCTCAGGCCAACCAAGTCTTCCATCCTCTTTTACCAGACTTATCTGAAAGGATGAAAGCGAAGACTTGTACTTCAACTGAGCAGCACAAGTCAATATGTTGGCCACATACAGTAGCGCTCAAAAGTCTTCGGTTATATGGTTCTTCAGCCGCACTTTTTAGTCGTAACTCCTTTCCTACCGAATCTAATCTTGCGAAATTCCTATATTTGGAGCGTGGGTATATTGTGAATATTTACTACTATTAACCCGCAATCTGATCATGTTCCAGATATTCCAAAGAGCATGAACTCAAAGTCGACTGAGAGTACAAATGATGGTCCTTCTAGAATCTCTTTCCTTTTTGTTATGTCTAAAGTGTACGAGCGGTAACGCCGAATACAATAGATGAGAAAAACGCACATAAGGTGCGAATAAGTGCAGACGTCAACAACTTTAGTTTTGGCAAAATCTACTCCCGCAACAAACACCTTGCTCTATCTGTGGATACTGCAGCTTCCCAGTCAAATAGTGTTGGGTAGGGTGAAATATGCTCTAGTTNGCTCTAGTTAAACATATCCAAATTTCGCGCGATTTGGTCGACCAATAAAAAAGTTATGAACGAAAAAGCGTCAAAGCATTTCACCGAACACTTTTGAGCGCTACTGTATGTGCTCTCTCAGAAGGCTTTACGACGCTGAAAGAAAATGGAACACGGTTGCGCATCCTAGAAACAGAAATGATTAACACATTGAGAATTGGTATTTTCGACCTTCTTGAAGAAAGGCAAATCGTCATTTTCGGTTGTCAAAAAGGTTTTCATGACTGTAGGACTGATCTCACAAATCAAAGGGGTCATGCAGTGCAGTCCTTTTTTTACTTGGAGGTTGAAGCCTGACGGGGCAGCTTGATTAGTCACGCAGCTCTATTCACACTTTCAGCATTTGTGAAGGAATCGCTGATCTAAGCCATCCTGATGAAGCCATGAACTTCAAAGAAGCTGCCATTTTGCACGTTAATAAGCTCAAGGAAACCGCAAAAAGGAATGAACCATTTCATGGTGTAATGCATTACGAAAATATTGTTAAATAAAGTAGTTTTTTAACTTCCAAATAAGCCTTCATATGTACGTGCAATAGCCATGGTTTGGACGGAAAAGTGTAGGATGAATAACTTGATTATGGCCCTGCGTAGTAGTCGTGAGGTGCAAGGAAAATAATACAGTTCAATAAAAAATTGCTGTAATTTTCAAAAGAAAGAGCTTCAGTAGAGCGGAAAAGTTTTAGGCTATCCCATTTTTTACAAAACGCACCAATTCGAAGTAATACAGGGTCAAATCTTTCCCTGTTCTTGACCAGAACTTGTATGGGCTTAGCTACAAATTTATCCCAAAGCTGTATAAGTATTAATGATCTCAAGTAAAATCAAAAACTCTGTGACAATCACTCAAAAACGATTCTCTTTATATTTTCTGCTTCCGCACCAGGTTTATGAACAACAAGCACTGTACGAGTTCACAGCGTTCACCAGTTTTTCATGTTTTTTTTGTAAGAATGAACTATTTCACTATAGAAAAATTAATTTGTATATAAATGAATATTAAGTTGCCGAGACCGCTCGCTCTGTCGCCAAGTACTGGTGACAGCACATATAAAGGTGCTATTTCCCACGACAGGCTTTCACTTGGCTTCATTCTTTTGCAATAGAAAACAACTCCACTCTAAGAAGCCATTTTTCGGAATTAGCACAGAACGAGAAACTCAAGCGATCTGGTTATCCTTGACTATGTACGTGACAAACGACAGCATACTGGACGAGCACGCTCCTCGGGCTGTGTGCCCTTTCAATTGATCACTCTTTCATCGGTCTGCGGACAATCAGTGTCTTTATCCATTATATCTTCGAAAGTTCTCATCCCTTCGAGAGTGTTAGGAGCGATCTTCGAAGCTTCACCCAGTTCAAGTAACGCCCAACGTTTTTTAAAAGTGTTTCTACTACCTATACAAACTCCAAGCATTGAGAGTAACGAAGTGAAATGATTGCTTACCTCTAGCTGAGATTCTAATTAGAGTGTCAGCTGTATATAACGAAAATTTCAATGAGTTCCATATTTTCCTCCTAAGTTCCGGGATTCTTTACAGAATTGCATTGAAAGAACAACATTAACTCGTGTGTGCATTAGTATCCGGGGATTTTAGATATTGCCCGAACAAATCGGTGCTCATTTTCAATCTTCGTGTTACTGACTTCGAAACGTTGGAACGAGATGTGCACAAGCCGCTTAGAAACATGCTCCCGAGGCCAGATACTTATTGTTAGCACAAATTTCAGTGGGTTTCTGTAGCGTTGTGGGCAGGTTCGGATTCGTACGGAAGTGCTTGTCAAATATGGGGAAACAGCTCGGCCGTTATGGAGAAAACACCAAAAAAGGGGGAGTTGTACATGTTATGCGTATACCTGTGAGTAATGGAAGCTTCCAGGTTTTTCAGAAAAAAAAAANAAAAAAAAACCTGGTCTTTTGCTGGGTTCTTTCATTTACATTTCGAACAACATAATAGTGAGTAAGTCTGTTGCTAGGGACCCGAAATCAGCGGTCTGCTACAGGCATGAATTCTGAGCTCTATCTTTCACACCATCGCTTGCGTTTAAGTGCGTTCAAATGTGTCATCACGCTAATATCATGGGAGAGATTTACAGAAAGGTGTTTCACGATTCCGTCAGGGAGATTTTTTGCGAACATTATCGACAAGTTGTTCATAGTTGAAAGTGTTCACTCTGAATGATACTTTGCATGAATTTCCGCAAACACAAATTATCGCTTTCATCGACAGAGCAATATTTCTGGGTTTTCAAGGGTAGAATCCAGTACTCACTATGCGACTTCTGTTTTCGAAAGCAGTAAATCCCATTAAGAGAGAAAGATCGCTCTTCTACATTCCGACCAAGGTAGGCTAGTTATCGATTGTCAATTGAAATTGTCTGATCAGCATTTCGTTGGAGAGTTTTATGCAATAGTTCCCTTTATACTCATCATAAATTAGCAATGATTCGTTTTGCTCCACGTTGGGCTTTGACGTCTCACAAAGGCGCATCAGTAGGCGGTATGCTGGTAAGATTTCCGAGCTTCGACGTGATGACGGGCCGCTATTTTTACTTGATGTTCCCAACTGGATCAGTCGGGGTCGCTCCGGGGTGGGAAACGGCTCTCCGTCTCGCTCCCCTAAGCAGTTTCACCCATCTTGTGAGGAGTGCATAACGGGTATTGAAGGATCCAAAGGGCTGGGAGTTTAGGGTCTCCGGCGACCAATTACGGTCTCATCAGTGGATGTTCAGTCTGCAACAGATGTAACAGTCTTGAAGGCACCAGCGCGAATTTATGGCTGCAGGTGACTTAGTGAGGTTCGACGCCTTCTTCTCGCCCTTCCCTAAGTACATACGCAGTATCTCATGCCGCCGCAATCGCCAAGTATGGCTGCTGCTCCTGCTAATCACCCAAAATTTTCGCTCTGGTTAATACATCGCTTGTTCCTAGCAGCAATCACATTTGGCACTTTTAAGAGGATCCATTCTCGCATTCCGGCCTCGCATGTGGATGTTGGCATTCTCGGGCAGCCACTGACATTTCGAAGCGGTCGCACGGCGCAGAACAGATTTCTCAAAGTAAGTTGCCACAGAAGTTCTCATCAAGAATATACCGCTAGCGGCTAAGCTCTTTTGTCAAGCTTTCAAGTTTCAGGCCGCTCTAACAGAGCGAATAAGCACATGGGACGCCAAAGATCCGTCAAAACGTGGAGTCCCCACTCAAGAGCTCATAAATCTGTACGACAAATGGGGCCACGGAAAATTCGGCGTTACTCTCACTGGCAATGTTTGTGTGGAGCCGGTTCGTTTCGACTTCTCTTTACCAGCTATCTGTCAGGATTCTGTTTAGTTTTTTCGAACTTCAGAGGTGAGTTGATGAACTCATTTGACAAGTGAGAGTGCTTCATAGTTCATGCCTAGCTTACTGCTACTTCGATCTGTTTTACTACTCCGGCGAGAGACGAGCAATTGAACATATTCGTTGTTTAGTGCCTTCTAGGATGTCATACTCTCTGACGAGAGCAAGTTTTGCTGCGAAACATTTTCCTCCTGGTGCACCGGAGTCTATGAATTGCAACTTCCCATTGGATTCCAATTCAACTTGCTCTGCAGGGAGCAGTGTATCCACGGGTCGTGAAGGTCCCAACGTCCGTCAGTAAGACTTATTGTAGATATCGCGAAAAGGCATCGGTTTTTTTCCGTCGAAAGAATAGGGAGTTCATTCCATTAGCTCTCTAAAAAAGTGGAAATCCGATTGAACATCACTGTAAGGTTCAAATCCCTCGTGAAATTGACCTCGCCTGCAGCTGCCTCCTGGATGTTGGGTTGTTTCGTTTCTTACAGGATGTTTCTTACATAAGAGGGAAGCACGCCAGTGTTTCTCAAAGATCTAGCACACGATGTTGTCGCTGGTCTAAAAGCAAAATTTCCAGAATCATCTCGAATCAGTGGGCAACGTAATCTTCAGTAAAGAAAATGATTCTCCTAAGCTTCGAGAAATGAGTTCAAAACTGGCAGAAGTGATGAAACAGGACGGGGCTTTGGCAGTCGTTCAACTATCACATGTATGCGGTACTTTTAGAAATTTTGCGAGTTTTCTCTATTTTTTTTAATGTTATGCTTGAGGATCTGCTTCTGACAGTAACAATTAGTTCATTTCATAGGGTGGGCGTCAAACGCAGGAAGCAGTGAATATGCATCCATTTTCATGTTCCGATATTGCGATTCAATCAAAATCAGTCCCAATGAGATTCGGAACTCCGATAGCACTCACTGAAGCGCAGATTAAAACTGAGGTTGTCGATCGATTTGTATATGCAGCGAAGTTTGCTTATGAACACGGTGAGTTTGCTTGCTGCACAATCAAAATATCATTTTTTGTTACATTATTAGTTTAAGTGCTTTGATTTTTGCCAGTCTTGGTTAACATTGTGCAAAAAAAAAGTTTGTCTCGAGCTATGCACCGAGATTATTGAGTTTCTTGAGGTAATCAAGGCTTCTTTCATACCGTGCGAAGGGTTCAATCAAAATGATGGACCAAATAGCAACAACTAGATAAGAAAGTGATCTCCTACCGTCGACTCCACTAAGCCTAACTTGTTGCGCCTGTAAAGTAGCTTGGCATCTTTCAAAGTAGAGCGTTGAGCGTGGAGCGTCGAGCGCATGGTCCATTGACAATTTCGATCGTCGGTCAATATCGCACGTATTGGCGGTCAATGACTTCTTGGTCGAATTTTTATTGGATGTGATTCACTTTTTTAGTTTTATACATAAATATGGTTACTTATACATTAATTTTTTATACTTTTATATGTTTTATATTTATTTATACATATATGGCTTTGTTCCTTTTCTTCTTAGCCTATCACGGTGTGATGGGACAAATGAATATGTTTACGGTGGTGTTATACGCAGCTCTGCTTGAGAAATAACATACTCCAACGCAAACACCATCATGCTGATGCGGACCCACGAACGCCGGCGCGCTCAACGCTCAACGCTCTGTGTGGAATGGTCAACCTTCGATT